AGCTGAATCAATAATCTTTCCAAAATAATTGAAAATACCACCTAGACATAACATTCAATTGCATCGTTAATACATAAATAATAGCACAAAGTACAAAAGGATGCTCGAAATAACTTATGCATTTCATAAAACAATAAGTCAAAGTTAAACATATTTAGAGTGGATGACCCCCATTGTAGAAGTTGATTGGTTCTTTGCTGGACATGTTCGACGATCGTGCCCTCGCTTGCAAACAAATACTACAATGGTTGATTTTGCGCTCTCTCTCAGGAAATCCATTTCATTGCGTATATGTATAGTTTGTGAAGGTGTTTATGTCCTAACTCTGTTAGAAAATCGTTTATTTCATAATCACTAATAAATCGTCATTTAAAATGATGATTTTAAAGTGTCATTTACAATCAGGCTTTTAAAATTTTATCCAGTTTAAATACGTTATTTTGAATGACATTTTTATCCATGAAGGCTTCATTCTAAATTATGATTTGAAGAAAAGATTGGGTTTGAGAAATAAGTTACAAACTGACTGAGTTTGTGAATAAAGTTTTGCTGGAGGTTGGGTATGGTCAAAAGCTTAATGGTTTTGCCTTTTATGTGATTTTTTTTTATTTTACTCACCCAAAATAAAATTAACGTCTATAACAAGGTGGGTTTATTAACAAATATCGTTACTTTTAAGAAAATAGAATTTGAAGTCACACTTTCAATAACAAATTTGAAAGAGTATTTTGTAAATACAATTTTATATTAAAAAAATATAAGTTCAAATCAAGGACAGAAGTGAAAATTAATTCAAAACAATTTGTATGGAAAATATCATCTTTTGTATATTCTAAAAATATCTATCCTTACCTATTAAGCTCTTTAATATAAAACTACTAGTCATCTGCACCCGTTATCTCTTTTTTCATTTTCCTTCTTCATGATTTCTCTCTTTTGTATCTACCATTTAAATATTAAATAAATAATTATCTAATGTCATAGGGTGTCAATAATAATTAATTTTTAATAGATTTAAATTAAAGTTGGTTAGTTAGTGGGGCATGGATGAGTAGTTAAAAAGAATGCATGGTGAATTGTGAGATTTTTAATTTAATAATTCAAAATCTAAGAAATTAAAAAAAGTATGAGAGGAGATTTCTCAAAACCTCACCTTAAAAATAATTTATTATTACTATATATATAGATAAATTAAGTCCATTTCATTTTATACCCACGTCATTAACAATTGAGCCTATCACAATTTACATACTATATTATACTTCTCAGTAAGAAATTATTTCCACCCTTATTAAGAGAAAATTTGGATTTTTGTCAACCACAATTTCACTCATACAACAAAGAATTATCTAAATTTTATTGGCATATGTCAAACTCATTTTTAGACTATTGTATCCATTAGTTACAATTCCAACAAGAATTATCACACATCACAGTTTAACTTATAATAAAAAAAAAATAGATATTTTATTTGTGGTTCCACTTAGACTTAGATTAATTGCCTTAGTTGCATATGTACACATTATCGGGGTCAAGCCGATTTGTAGTTCACAAATGTTTAGTTATTTGTAGTACGATCAATTAGTAGATCACTCGTTGATCTTGAATGGAAAAGAGTTATATTTTTATATGAAAATGGATATAAGGGTGGGGACAACTAAACTGAGACATTGCACAAAAAATTTAAACGATACCCTATTAGTATTAATATAGTAATACAAATGATATTATATGATCATAAAAATATTTAAATGTATTTATTTGAAAGTTATGTTATTGCATTTTGAAATGCAAAAGTATTAATTAAATTATTGTAATAAGTTTCTTTAATATATATTTTTCAATAAATAATATAATTAATTCATTTAAAGCCTAATAGTTAATATAATGGTAAAAAAGAAATTTATTAGATTTTTGTTAATACAATCACCAAAATAAAAAAAAAATAACAGAAAAAATAAAACCAATATATGACACTTAAGTAGCATTTTATGTCGTCATTGATAATATAAAAAAATTCTCAAAACTCAATTCAAATCTAAGAAAATCTAACTTCACAAAAGACCATTAGATTATGCAAAATCAACAAGTAAAATGATTTCAATACACTCTACATAGTTGGAAAAAGTATACGAGAGTTTTGTTTTGGTCAAAATATAAATATTCATTAAAGTAGATAATAATGTGCAAAATCCTAGTTTCATCCTATTCCTACTCTTGCCTCCGTGTGAATGATGTCCACCAGCTGGACAGAAGGGTTGGCTATCTAGTGTGCAGGTATGGGTCCTTGACTGGTTTGTTTAGCCATTGTGTGGGCTGTTGAGTTGTATTCCCTCATTGCATATATATATTTAATTTCAGGTAGTTGATTTGCATAGTACCAATTATCCCGCTTGATTGATTTGATCTCCCTTATGGTTGATGTCAGCCCTTACTTGAGAGAACCAATGAGCTGTTTTGAATCAGATTCTATGATCAGCAGATGATAAGCTTCTTCCACAACCACTAAAGGTGAAGTGGCTATAATGTTTGCAATAGTCGCATTTATCAGTCAACCTTCATAATTGCATACCATAGTCGCATAAGCTCCTGTTCTAGTTGTAGTCAAGTAGGCTCCATCACAATTTATCTTTATAAACCCCACTTAGGGGACAATGCAATCGGGCACGGATCCTCTACTGTTCCTTGACAACAGCAAATGTTGCTGTTAGCTCAAACAACGCCACATCAACACAAGACAAAACAGCAGGCTCCCAAAATTCAAGACCAAACACAACAAATATTAATAAGGGCTTTGCTTAAATATGATACCAAAATTTATCAAGTATTTGGATTAAATCTAATATTATAATTCTAATCCAAGTTTGAATCTAATAAAAAAATTATAATATTAAATTTAATCAAAACACTTGAAATATTTTCTTTTGAATAATCTATATTCGAATTCAATTGAACTAATCGACTTGACCCGAACAAAATCGTTCAACTGAATAATAATAAAATCTAAATTTTAATTCAATTTCATAGATTCTTATAGAATAGGGAATTGATACTACTTCCCTATTTACACACATAAACACACGTATCTCAAATAAGATCAAAATTTTAATAAATATAAGTATATTTAAATATAAATCCACGAAATATGATATAATTGACTTAAAAAATATTAATTTATATCCATGTAATCAAACTTATTATAGAATTAAGGAATTTTTTCTCTCGATTTGACTTGCATAAAGATCAGATGAATTTTTAATTTATAAAAATACATTAGCTTTGAGTTTTCTTAAGAGATAAAGAAATTTTAGTGTTAAATTTTTGATTCACGAGATATGTGTATCAAATGTGTAAGACATGTTATTTTGAGATATTTGATATGATTAATTAAATAAATAAATAAAATTAAAATTAATTATATTCAAAATAAATATTTCAAGTATTTTGATTAAATTTAATATTATAATTTTTCTACTATATTCAAACTTAGATTAGAATTATAATATTAGATTTAAGCCAAATACTTGATAAATTTTTGTATCATATTTAAGCAAAGCCCTTATTAATATTGTTGTGTTTGGTTTTGAATTTTGGGAGCCGGTTGTTTTGTCTTGTGTTGATGCGGCGTCGTTTGAGCTAAGAGCAACATTTGTTGTTATCAAGGAACAACAGAGGATCCGTGCCCCAATACAATCTCCATATGTTGTAAATCTAACTGGCTACCTGATGCAGCTTCTATTGGCAAGAGTTCTGCACTGGCTGTAATTGTCTGATTGATTACATCCTTGCAGTTAGGGTATTGACTTTGATATACCCATTGGTTGCGAACCTTCCAAATGACCAATACAAATGTGCTAACAGGGTTGGCTTAGTAGATCCATAATTCTTGTCCTTGTCAATTGTTTCAGGTGTTTCATCAAACCAAACTTTTCCATCCTTGTAATTTCATACCTATCTATAACTATGTTATGGGGGGAATCCTTCCATATAGAGGAGGGCATAATCAAAAACGGTGTTCAATTTTTTCTTCTTCCTCTCCACATCTTGGGCACATGAGATTTTGTGTAAGTTTCCTCTTCCAAAAAACCCATTTGGTTGCTAAGATTCCATTAGCAAGTTTCCACATGAAAGATTGAACCTTTGAAGGCACTTTTAATCCCTAGATTTCATTCCATAGGCCTTTTAGAACTTGGAAGCTACTAACCCGATTGAGTGGTCATTGGAGTCTACTAGAGTATATAGTATCCACTCTTCACTAGGAAGCAACCAGATATTGTGCAGGCCCATTTTATTTCATCTTACTATTGGGTTTCATCCAGAGGTATTGATAGAATTTCTTTGGATATTTTTGGGGCAAAGACATTGTGAATGAGCTCTGAATTCCATCTTCTATGGGGTTGTTGAATAAGTTCTTGCACTCTTGAGATATTGTTTGCCCAGTATGGGGTATTTGTTGGCTCCCAGAACCCAAGGATCCTCCCAACATATAATTTGGTTGTTATCTCCATTCTCTAATCTTTTAATTGCAGCCTTTAGCCAACACATCTCTGCCCTCCAAAGACTTTTCCAAATTCAAGAGTTTAGTGGTTTAACTTTCACCTCCCATATAGATTGTCCTTAACAGTATTTTTCCTACGAAAATTTGGCCCAAAGTGATTCTAGAACCTTAAAAAATCTCCAAAATTGTTTTGCTAACAAGGCTTTGTTGAAGTTTTCTAGGTCTCTAAAGCTTAGACCCCCATCTTTTTGCTTCTAGTAGTTGGTTCCAACTTTTCCAGTAAAATGTCCCTTTCCCCTAATGTGTTCTTCCACCAGAACCTCTTTATACTGGAAGGGATGTCTTGACAAAAGGACTTAGAAAATTTGAATATTGACATGACATATGCTGGTATAGCTTGTATTATCGCCTTGATTAGTGTTTCCTTCCCAGCATGGTACAAGAATCTCTCCTTCCATCATACTATTTTGTAGAGAGTCATTTCCTTGATCCAGACTAGTGTTTATTTCTTAGATCCTCCGCACTCTAGAGGTAGTCCCAAATGCTTCCTTGCTTTGTGTGCCTTTGGGATTCTGAGGTACAGAGCAAGCTCTTGTTGATGATAAAAAGTAATTGCAGACTTGTTCAAATTGATCATTTGGACAATAGTAAAGTAGTATCTATTGAGGATGTCCATTAGGATTTGACCTGCTCCAGTTTCTGCAGAGAAAAAAATAGAATAATTAGCAAATATTAAGTGTGAGAGTGTAGGTCCAGACTTGCTCATCTTGGGTCCCTTAAGAGATCCACTTTCCATTGCTTGGGATGAAAGTCTGAGAAGTTACCTCACTCGTTTTAACAAGTAGTTCCTTCAGATCAAGGTACCCGACGATAAGGTCACCATGACCGCCTTCCTAGGAGACCTACCCTCATCTAGCTTTCTCTTCTCAATGATGAAGCACCCACTAAAGAGCATGCCAGAATTGTGGGCAAAAGCTCAAAAATACATAAACGCCAAGGATGTCACCAAAGCCAGGTGAAGTGAGTCCTCGACAACATCACCACCACCTGCGCTTGACTCTAAAAAAAGAAGCCACAAAGGCACATACATTAAAAGATTTTGTGGCTGAGCTCACACCGCTTGAGGAGAAAGATTGTCAAGAAGACTCAACGCCAGGGGCCCATCAGTGCTCCAACCCAGGCACTCAGCTCCTCAAGCGCCAGCTTCTTAGGCGCCCAGCTCCTTTGTTCCCTCCTCATCTCCATCTATTGGAATGAGCCTTCAGCTTGGTGGCCCTCCCATGGGCTAACTCTCAAATTCTACCTTTGCTCTCATCCGGGAAGCCTCACAGTTAGTATATCTGCATCTTAGTGGTTCTCTCGCAGGTCGCCAAAAGTTTGGCCTATTTCTGCTCTACTCCCAAGCAAGTAGCCTATGTTTCCAACTTAGTGGCTCTCTTGCGAATCACCAAAAGCTTGACCTATCTCTACTCTGCTTTCAAGCAGACAGCCAATATCTCCAACTGAGCGGCTCTCTCACAGGTCGCCAAAAGCTTAGCCTATCTTTACTCTGCTCTCAAGTAGACAACATATATCTTCAGTTGAACGGCTCTCTCGTGGGTCACCAAAAGCTTGGCCTCTGCTCTACTCTCAAGTAGGTAACCTACCTCTAGTTTAGCGACTCTCTCAAGGATCGCCAAAAGCTCGGTCTGAAGAGATATAGCTCTCTCACGAGTAATCCTCAGACTCTATCATTGGTCTCATGCTATGTTAGATATTTTGATGTTGGAATAACATTATTTTTGTCATCTCTAGGCACACTTTTGAAACTCAGGTCATCTACAACCCGTGGGACTACATTAAATTGAATGTCAACAATTGGGCCTCATAACTCCATGCTCAATCTTATTTACCGCGCCTGGTTCGCCTAGCATTGGCAAATCTGCGCCCAGCGGGCCTAAGCGCCATTCTTGCTTCACAAGGGGCACTCGTCACCAATTGTATCTCGTCCAGTAGCATAGGCACCTCACCAGCAACGCCCAACACTATAGGCGCCTCATCGCCAATACCCGATGCCTATAGTGTCCCGCCTAGCACCATAGGCGTCCCTCCAGCAGTGCCTAGCGCCATGGGCGCCCCTTTAGTAGTGACCAGCGCCATAGGCACCTCTCTAGCAGGGCCCAACACCATAGGTGCCACTCCATCAGTGCCCCTCTTGTGCACCTAGCCAGCGTAGTAGCCCATCCTGCTCGCCCAGCCAACGTAACAGCCCCTCCTACTCGCCCAGCCAGCGCAACAGCCCCTTCTGTGCTCCTAGACTGCGCAGCAGCCCCTCCTGTGCGCCCAGCCAGCGTAGCAGCCCCTCCTACGCACACGGCCAGCTTGCCCACCTCCCTTGCACGAGCAGTCTACTCGCCCAGGTCGGTGCCCACCTCCCCTGCGTGCACCGACTAGCTCGCCCGACGACTCCACATCAACGCCGTCCAGTGTCGCCTCCTCTATCGCACCCATAGATGGCTCACCCGCCGGCGGCCTTATTGCCTACCTCTGTACTAAATGCTTCATCGCCATGGAAGCTAGTGAACCTTTGAATCTTCTCTCCTTCACTCGACATTAAATTCTGAGAACTCATCTCAGGAACAAAAGCTCTAACCTTGGTCTTCAAGTATCTCAAGAAGGAACTCTCTTTCAAAATTGTATGAAATGGGTAGAATGGAAAAAGGGAAAAAGTCCATATTTGAAACCAAGGGATTGTCTAGAACCCAAATAAAAACGAGGAAGGTCTTGAAGTATTCTACAGAGTTGAGGTCAAAAGGAGTCTCCACCAACCGGAATGCAAAGTTCAACCAAATGCCCTATTCTTCAAGTTTCATTTTACACGGGGAATTGGGGGGCAAATGATGGACCGGGCCCAATGACCCATTTCATGTTGAAAACCCAGTTTAAATCAAGAGCCCAACTTATAACAATCTAGTATTCAGCCCAAAGGGATCCACGCCCGGTCAAGCTCGCTAAAGGAGTAAGCTGGATCATCTGAGATCCTCATCCACGCAGCCTTGAAAAGAGTCAACCCCTACGTCATCCTTTGACCGAATCATATAGAGAGCACGTAACTGCCTCATCCGTTGAGAAGATGTTAACAACTCCACAAGATTAGCCGCTTAGTTACTAATAACTCGCTTCAATCTGTTATGAGCTAACTATAAATTGTAAACCCCGCCAACACTTGGGGGGCGTGATACTCAGTCGAGCACATCTCTCCTATCTCTCTCAGCTTGTTTCTCCCTACTCTCCCTATACACTTGAATTAATAAAATACCCCAGCGACTCTAGCCATTCAAAGTGGTCGTAGGTCACGCTGACCGAACCACTATAAATCCTTATCTTGACTAGCTTATCATCTCTCTCTACTTTATTATTGCATTTATTACTGATCATTTAACAGGTGGTGTACAAACCCAATTTTTACATCATCAATTTCTACCCAATCAAACTTGTCTTTCTCATCAAAGGGCTCAGGCTTAAGATTAAAGATCTTGCAAACCACTGTCCAAAAGCTCTTCCAAGTAAAAAACACCATTTGTGCAATTGAATGCTTGGTTCTTGGCCTTGTCTGTCATAGCTGCCCATATTTGCTGCTCAGCTAGAAGTCCAGCATCCGACATATGGCAAAAATGTTCCCAAGTGTACCGGTTACTAGGATACCTGTCAGAAAAACAATAAATACAAAGTTTACCTTGAAACTACTGTTGAATTGAACCCCTTAAAAGCAAGTGAATCACATGAGTACCTAAACGGCAAGCCTTCGTGCTTGCATATTAATGCATACACGAAGAGAGTAAGCAATGAATTATGAACACTTCTTGAAGACACGCCCATGATTATAGAAGATCAATGTATGGAATATGTAAATATCTGCGTGTAAGAGGCTATTAGGTCTTCTAATGCATAGTAGAAGTTGGGGAGTGGTAGTCGAGGGTACTCTTCTTAGAACGGTGGCTCGTGAGGTACGAGTTGGTCTAAGAGAGATAAGTCGAAGAAAAGTCCCATATAGTGTTTGGTGCCTGTTTGTAATGTGATTTGTTGGAGGTTTGAAGTTGGTGAGTATGATTTTAGGGCTTTGAGGACATTGGTGAGCATGGTTGAGTAGAGTTCAACGTTGAGTTCTTCGATTTCTCGGAGTTGGAATGCAACCCAGAAGACGTGGGTTATTTCTGAGGATATAGGGAAGAGCTTTTCATTGGTGTCGCCGGAATTTATGGAGTCAAAGATTGTGTAGTGGTGGAGGAGGGAAGGTGGGAACCAAGTTGGAAGAGGACTTCTAGATGCACCGTGGACCGTCTAGAGCGGTTGGCTTTTAGAGCTTCGACCAAGGCTAGGCCAACCATGCCGGTCACGCCAATAATCAGAGCTACTACTCTATGACTACAGGGGTCTTCTTTCTCCATTACACACACACACACACAAAGGGGAATGCAAATTTTCTTGAACAAACGCTGATGTGGTACATTTAACAGAGGAAGGGAATCAATTGTATATATGCCATCATTTAGTCTTAACTGGATTAATTCTTAACCCCTTTTATGTCTCAACTCTTTTTATGTCGATCCAAACCAGCTTAAGTTGATCTATTTATGTCGGACTATCTTAAGATATTCATGAAGGATAATTTCTTCATGATTTGACCTTAAAAAATTGTTAAAATTCGAATTCAATACATTTGAATTTACAATTTATCCTTCAAAATTCGTTGGCATATCACCATAAAACAAGATTACAAGAAGGAAAATTCCACAAGACAGGCAGCTAACGACATAAAAAAATAATACAATTTCATGGGCCTGCAATGTTTTTGGAGTATAGTTTTTGGCAATTTGTCATTCTTTAAGAGAAATTGAACTCATTTTTATAAATACTAGATCATGGACACGTACTTTGGCCGTCAACTATTTTAAAATATGATTTTTTTTTAATTTTAATTTTATAATTATTTAAAATAATCATGTAAATACAACAACCTATAAATATTATTAAGATTTTTTAAGTATGATATTCCCGTTGTCCTCTTATGTAACCACCAAGTACTATTGGCTTTTATAGTACGGTCTCACACCCAAATATATATATATATATATATAGAGTATTCATTATTTTATAATATACCCTATAAGTAAAAGTCATTATATATGTTCCTTCTTTAAAATTATAACTGTAAGTTTTAAAATTACATATTAAAACATCTAATATGTGAAGTGGTATGTAAAAATATTAGAATTAATAGATAGATAAACAATAAAAAATAGTGAACCATTTATGCCTTGGAATTGGAGTTTATACCTTTGAATTGAAATTTGAGGACAAAGTTAATTAAAATTGTAAATTTTAATTTTCAATTTCAGTGACAACCCATGAATTCTATTTTAGCAGGAGGAGCATAAATTCAATTCAAAAAAAATAAAAGAACCATACTTACCAACTCTAAAAACCCAAAAAATCAAAAACCTCCTCATGTGAAGATTGATTTGCTCCTCAGTGATTGAGGTGTCTGGAACAAAAATATATCAATCAATAAAATACAACATTTCATTATATACAAACACCATAATCACCCTAATTAAACTTTATATAAATCTTAAATATGGCATAGTACAAAGAATAAATTTCATCAACTTCATTTTTACATGCAAATGAAGTTAATTTTTTGACATCTTATTGCTTTGATGAATAGATAAAAGATGTTGATATTATTTTTTGCCAACTACATTCACAAGCTAAGTGAGGAAAGTAGTATATATATATATATATAATAGTTGTTGGTGTGAGTGGAAGGGACATTCGACGATAGCAGTTAGATCAAGCCCCAAGAGTTGCTTAATCTATGACCTTTAGATTGTTGAGAAGCCCACCATCTTAGTATAGGATAGTGTGACGGTGGAATATGGTGATGGGGTAAGTGAACATGAATTTGATAAAGTCGTGGATCTTGTTATTAGGTTTTTGGTTCGTAGAGAATGGTTAGTGGTAGGAGTGAAATCTCTATGAATGACACAATATATATATATATATATATATACAAAAAATTATGAAGAAGATAAAGAAAACATAAAAAGTCATAAAGTGGCTAATTAAAACAAAGCAGTTTTGATTATTCCAAATTATTTTTTTTAGGAAAAATTTCAACCACACTCCCTCTAGTTTATTATATCTTCAAGAACACCTCCTCTAGTTTCTGAATCTTCAATAACATCTCTTATCAAATTAAAAATATTAAGTACAATACAATTTTACTAAATTGCCCATGACATATTTGAGGACAAACTTAATCCACACTCCCTCTAGATAAACATATCTTCAATGAGACCTCCTCTAGATAAGTATATTTTCAATGAGACCCCCTCTGTTTTCTAATTTTTTTTACGTAATTAAATTCAAACCGATTAAAATTCGATTCAAACTAATTAAATTTTATTTTTTTACATATTAAAATTTGTGCCAATTAAAAATTATATTTTTTTTACGTATTAGAATTTGGACTAATTAAAATTTTGTTTGAGACAATAAAAAATTATTTTTAATCGACTCAAATCAAATTTTAATTAATTCGCATTGAATTTTAATCAGTCCAAATTTTAATATATAAAAATATGTGAATTTTAATTGACTTAAATTTTAATAAATCTAATTTTAATTGACACAAATTTTAATAAGTAAAAAAATATAAATTTTAATCGACTCGAAAGAGAATTTTAATCGACGCTAACAACTTAGGTAGAGTTCAGATCGGCTCAAATTTTAATATGTAAAAAAAAATTTAATAGGCTCAATATTTTTTTTTTAAATTTACGAATTAGTAAATAACAAATTAATATTTACTAACACATTATTTATTAAAATTGTTATTTATGTTTTTTTTAAAAATTTTAATAGGTCAAATTTTAATAAAATTTTATGTAAAAAAATTACTTGAGGTTATGTAGGGGCATTTTTGGTATTTTAGATGAATTTGTTTTGTTAAAAATAGTAGTTTAATGGTAGGGGGTGTTAGTGATATTTAAATTAAACTAGAAGGGGTGTTATTGAAAATTCAGAAACTAGAAGAGATGTCCTTGAAGATATGGTTAACTAAAGGGTTTGTCGTTGAAATTTTTTGTTTTTTTTATTTATATTTATTTGTGCATGTAAAGTGAGAGGGAAGTTAAATGGATGAAAAAACAATAGATGACTAACAATTTAGAATACAAAAAGACAAGAAATCAAGTGTGATTAATAATGAACTGTATATTTTTTCTTTAGTTAGTATATTAATTTGGATTTAGTGCCAATATAATGGTTAGTGAGAAAAAAAGAGAGATGAAAAGTTTCTATAAATAAATTTACTACATAATGAAGAATATTTATTTAGGTGGATGGTAGTTTGATATTGAAGTGATATTCAACGATAAAAGAGTCGATCAAAAAAATGTTCAATGCAAGTATATTTAGAAGTAGTATATATGTGTGTGTGTGTGTAT